GTCGTCTGGTTCACCAAAAGGTTGTGGGTTCGATCCCCACTCAGGGCGCTTACAGGAGGCAACCGATGAATGTTTCACTCTCACATCAGTGTTTCTCTCTCCTTTCTTCCCTCTCTCTCTCTCTCTCTCTCAAATCAATAAAAATACATCCTTGGGTAAAGATTAAAAAAATAGTGTTTTTACAGCTGCACTGTTAGCTTAACTTTCTTTTAGCAAAACACAGTTTATCTTTGAAAGGTTTCATGAAGAATGTCGGCTGTGAGAGTCTGCAGTGGGATTTGCTCCTTCGCAAAACTTTCTTAAAAGTGTTGTCTTTGACACAAATCCATACCAAATAATCTCAGCGTTACGTAATCCTCACACAAAATCTGAACAACATTTAATTAGAATTTCAAATACAGACACTCATGGCACCCTCGTTAAAAAGACTGAAAAGTCATCATCGATTTGCTTACTCAAGTAGATCCCCTATATACCAACAAAGCACCTTAGTTACTAATCACTTACTCTGTGCTTTTCCAAATTTTCCTCTCTTTAAAGTATATTTAGTTATGCAAGCTTTTCAAGCTTTTGGTAAGGTTTCCAAGGAAAACATTAATTTGAATGAAAGGCAATATTGAGACTGGAAACTTTTTCACCACCTGGTAAATGTCAGTTTGTACAACAAAATGTTTTCGGAGGGGGGGGAAAAAAGTCACATGGCAGGAATAAATAACCTTAAATATCCATGCGCGCCCCCTGACTCCTGTTGTTGGGCACAGTTGCTGGAAAATTTAATTAGCGGTGGCATTCTGTGCTGAAAACATCTAACGCTCCGATTCTGTGCTTGTAACTCAGGCATTAGCATTCAGATCAGCCCACACGTTGCAGTTCGGTACTTACTGAATGAATGCCAATTAAGTTGTCCCAAGTCATCATTTGCATTTGCTGTGGAGTATCTACCCCAAGCCTAACAGTCCCATGGAATCTAAAAGCACTGGAGATGTTGGGATTTTACATTTTTCTAGGGAGACATTGTGTTTTTGAAGTACTGATGCATCTTGTCTTTCTATTATTGAAAGTAACTTCTCACCCCCCTGGCCACTGTCTTTGGGTCTGTGCAAGAGAAGGTTGGTGACTCATGTCCTAAACTATCCACCTGAAGCCAACACGCTGCAACGGAGTAGGCGAGAGACGTGACCAGAGCTCGCCTTACTCCTTGACGCACAGACACGCACTTTCTTATTTCAAAATAATGGATGGTGAGCAGAGTTTTCAGTAGGGAATCAGGATTTAGATCAGATGGTTGAAGCAAAGTGAATTTTTAGGAACTAAAAAATTTGAAGAAAGAAATAGAAAACAAAATTTTTTTTAAGAATCTCCATCTTCATATCTTGCATGAAGCTAGAATTCTACTTCAAACAGTAATTTTAAAGCTTGACTATAATAGAGATGAGGAAATTAGAATTCTATTAGATTATTTTCTATTATTTTTATGTTCCTCAGTTAATGACTTCTGCGACATAATATAAATAACATCACGATGGTTAACCGTGTGGGCTAGCGAACTGATATGCCTACATCCAAATCTGAGTTCTGCTCTTTTACTCACTGTGAACTTTATATAAACTAAGGTGTGTCTTTTGTTTAACCTTCCTGTGCCTCAGTTTCTTGTCTGTAAAATGAGGAGGATGATACCTACCATCGAATGCTGTGCAAAATTAAACAATTTAATACACACAAAAAACAATAGAAAATTGCCTGGCAGAGAAGGGAAACATTAATAAGTATTAACAATCATTTTTGTTGTTGGGACACGTTAGGGTCTCTCTGGGAACTGAGCCCGCGTGTCTGATGCTACAATAAAACTGATTTATCTCTCACCTCAGCTCTTCTACCAAGTCTGCTTTTATTTTCTTTAATTATATTTCTTAATTGACTAGATTTTGTCGTAATTTTTTTTCAATGAGACCTCTTATGAGCCACACTCCCTAAGCATTCATTTTTTAGATCAGCAGGACATGTGTATGAGCATTTTGACTGGTATAAAACTCAAGGCACAGAGCCTTCCCCTCAGAGCTTCTCTTGTGAAGACCACTCAAAGTCTTTGGGTCTTGGTTGGTGCGGGACGACCACCTTGGGTTTCTCTCACTCCTTCGCCCTCACTTCTAACTGGAAACCTCCTCCGGGGAGGTGTCTGCACCACAGACTATCGATAAAATCGCTGTCCCCGCCTCTGCCTGGCCAAGCCTTGACTGCACCTCTGATAAAATGCATGTGAAAAGGTCAGTGACCTTGACCTCCCAAGGTCATGCCATGTGGCCTGTTGTGTATTCCACTGCCTGGGTAGCCTACGCTTTCCCCCCCTTTTTTCTTACTTCTGTAATACATCCCTAAAAATATGTAGGCAGCATTCTTTCTAAGTTCTTGTATTTCTGAAAATAACTATACATTACCCTCTAAATTCAGTGATGGTTTAAAGTCTATCAAATTTAGGTTCTCCATCAGTTTTCCTTGGAAATCGGTGCACGGTGTAAAGCTCAGATGAGAATGTGGGGATCAGGCTGGTTCTTAGCCCCCTGCAGGCAGGTTTTCTCCGAACCGCAGTACTGGAAGTGCCCGCACTGTCCACTTCCCAGGCCGCTGCTGGCCTTCGAGGGGACTCAGCGAGCAGAAGGACCTGAGCATCCCTCCAAATAAATGTTAATCGAAAGTGCACGAAAAATCCCAAATGTCTTAATGAAGCATATTACTAATGTTTAACTGAGTTCCATTTTTCAAACAAAAAATAAATCACCTTAATTTCTCCTGGCATAAGACTGAGGATGTGAATTAAATGTTCCACGTTTGACTAAAACATGAAATATCCGTTAACCTAATAGATCTCGCTACGTTAGAACTCGATGAAAGAATATAAAAATATGCAAACACACATACTCAAATAAAAAACTAAAGTCTGAGGCAAAGTAGGTCCAAAATAAGTCTGCAAATCTGAGATGAGAACACCAAATGCATTATAAATCAGGGTGCTTATTATCGCTCAGAATACGTTAATAATTAAGCTAAAGTCACGCACTTAATTCCCGGCTGGAGCAGTTTGGTTGCTTTGTGACTGAGACGCAGGCTGAATCCCAAGTCCCAGCTGCCTCCGGAGGGTGTGGGGCTGACCCAGGGGGGCGTCCAGTTCCCCACAATCACGGGACACTATTCCCAGCATGTTCCCTGCAGGGAGGGGGCAGCTCCATCGGTATTTAGATGCTTAATGACGGGTCTTTGTCATGTTAATGATGATGCGGGCAAGACCCGATTTACAACTCTATGCAGCTTTCCAGAGCAGGTGATTTTAAAATTGTGAGATTTGTGGGCAACTCTGCCCAGTGCATCGAATATTCGTTCCTGAATCTTTTGGGGCTTAAATTAAATGCACATATTAAAAGTCCTGATTTTGAAAAGCATTGATAGTCTTGCTCTGTGATATAACAGAAACTAATTATGGCTAAAATCACCACCATGAAAAAATATATATGTATGTATGTATATTTATATATATGTATGTATATATTTTACACTGTGAGATTAGATACATATGCATATATAGAGATTATACAGAATATACATACACACACATATATCTGAGATGGCCTTCATTTATAGGCCCGGTAGAATAAAGAATGGTGACATTTGAAGGGAAGTCATTACTGTTACTATTTCATGTTTATGAAGAGATTGACTAGGTGAGCAGTAAAAAAACAATTTGTGAAGAGAGAACAAATTTTTAATAAGATGGCACTGTGACAATTTCAGAGGGGTGTTTATGTTTTAAAGGCATTAAATATCCTAAAATGTTTACTTCTTGAAAGATAAAATTATGCCGTGAAATATACTTTAAATCCACTTAGTAGAGATGGTAACTGCATCCTACTGATGCAAGCTGGCTGTCACACCTATATGTCTAAATCGATAGTCATGCGCCACATGGTCAACTTTTTGGTCAACCGCGAACCAAATAGGCGTCGGTGGCCCCAGAAGGTCACGGTGGAGCCGAAAACCTCCCCTCGCCTGGTGGCGTCGTGTTAACATCGTGGGCGACACATTCCTCTGGCGTTTGTGACGCTGCCCTGTCAGCGTATAAAACTAGCACGTACAGTTACAGCGGTTCGTTTACGGGAACCGATGACACTCGCACAGTGACAACATCACCCGACGACACGTTTCCCAGACGTGTCCCGTTGCGACGGCGCCTGACTCCCCCTAACTGCAGTGTCTGTAGCTCTAGTGGGCCCCGTGTCCGAGCACATCCCTCCCATTTCACCGCTTCCCAATTAGCCTTTTCTCTTTCTCAAGAAGTCAAAGCCAGGTCAGAGCACAATTACACATGATATCTAAGACGCCTGCAAAACAGATCCTTCTTCTACCTCGGTTTTTGATTTCCACACTTTCTCTAGTTCCAGATCTGCAGGAATCCATACGGACAGTGGCCCGTGTCGCACTGGTTTGCATTTTAGCTGTCAAAGTGGGACCTTCCGAAGGAAGAGTAACTTTCCTGTAGCAAAGCAAAGCACCTCGAGGTCTGCCCTCGCTTTCTGCCTGACTGCACCCTGGGGTGTCACCGAGAGGGGCCTGGGCGGCGGTGACCCGCAGTGACAGCTGGCTCCAGTCGTTCTGCTTTGAAGACAGTAGGAAAGGAAAGGCACCTCCCTGTCAGTGTCAAAGGGGAAATGCCTGTGTGACAGCCGTGGCGCAGGGGACAAACTCTTGTGATTTGGTTGTTTACAGAATTGGGGGAAACGCCAGAGTGGCAGTAAATCTCACCACCAAATGAGAGATGTGCTTTCTCGCTTTTCCTGGGACTGAAGGAAGGGTTTTATCTCTAATTCTGTAGGCGATCCATTACATTTTATAGTGAACATTGAGTGAGTGAGTGATGATTTCTATCTATTAATTAAAATGGTATACAGTAAGTTTTTTAAGAAACTATAATTAAATAAAACATAATGAAAACGCTGATATGTGAGTCTTACCAGGTGAAGATAAGGCATAGTAATGTAGATATTAAAATCAGAACTTGATTGAACATTGCAGACTGGGTACGCTGAATAGCTCTGTGTAGATCATTCTAAAATAAGACAGAAAAGCATATTTTAAATTTTGATGACTATTTAATATTTGTGAGTTTCATTACATTTATTACTAGGTATTACATTTCAACTATGCTGTGCATACTCAATAATATACTTTAAATGGGTACAACAGCATATTTTCATTTTTGCCTAGGTCAGAAATAGACCTTACTATATAATAGATTTAGATGCATGCATTAACATTGATTGAAGAGAGCTATCTAATGACATAGGAACTTGCCCCCTCCATACCAGTATATGATAAAAATTCTAATTATAAAATTGGCATACAATATAATTTCATGTATGATATGTGTGTTCATAGAAAAAGTATGTAAATTATTACTAGTCTGTGCGGTAGATCTGTAGGTTTCATAATTTTTTTACTTTCTAGTTCTCAGTTCATCTCAATTTTTTTATAATAAACTGTTAATAGTCTAAAAACCAGTATAGCAGGGATAACATCACCAACGTAAAATCCCAAAGAGCCATCATCGTTTTCTCTTCCACACTTTAACCAGAACTGTTATAAAAACAAAAAACTAAGTTGAGTAGAATCTCACCTCTCAACCCTTACCGTCCTCTGACGGAGGGCTTAATGAGCAGGAAAACAAATAAAAATTTAGCGACCAGTGTTGGGAGGAGAAGCTAAATAGAGCAGTGCAATGGAAAACGGGTCCTCAGTGAGTACTGCAAAGCCCTCCTTTTATTCTCAAGGTCTGACTGTTGTTGCTCTCTTGGTTAGGTTATTTTTTCCCAACAACTGATAACACAATTTATCAGAGGTTATTTTTTCCTGGTGCATTTTTTCATTAGCAGTTTAGGTTGTCTCTTTAGTGAAATAGGTTTTTTGGGGTTTTTTGAACAATTAAGACAGCCCAGTGTTTTTGCAAACCACCTCACAGACCACGCTCGCCCACGGGTGGGCCACACACTTTTATGAGACGCCAGCGGTCACTAAACCTGGATGTTTAGAAACATTCATCCGGTTACAGATTCTCAAATGTTATCCAAATATTCCTCCATGCCAAAACGTTGGTCATAATTTCTGTTTCAAAACCATTTAAAAGAAAAACAAGTTTGCCTCTGGAAAAATTTAATTCTGATGTAGCAAAACTAATAATGTTGAGCCCTGACTCTGTTTATGCATTAAATAGACACACACATACGTATTTGTGCATGTGTGTGTGTAACTTAATTCTCACAACAAGCTTGTTATGTAGGTACTTTTGTTCTCTTGAAGATGAAGGGATTAGAAAGAAATTCACTCTCTTGGCTGTCCTATCAGAGAGATAGCGCATAGTGGACTTACGTTAACACGTGGAGAGGGAATGACTGGATAGCACAGGCCTGAAGCTCACTGGTAAGCAGTGAGCCCTGCTGTAGACACGCTTTGGTCATAGTTATAAATCAGGCCTTCCAAACAGGCCCTGCCTCGGGCGAAGGGAAACCAGGGCACGGCCTGAACTCTGAATCCCTCTTCCCTCCTGATCTCCCTTTCACAGCCCGACCGACCCTGAAAAGATGACTTTAAATGAGGGGCTTCCAACTCCCATACAGGGCCTTATAAACCCACAGATCTGTATGAAATAGGAGACCACAGTTATGAGCAGTTTGACGCCATGGCCCCCCCGAATCCTTATGACCAGGGGACGCACTATATGTGAACAGATAACCTGGGAGGGTGATTTGTCTTCAGAAGATGGACTCAGTCCTTGGACCAGTCCAGACAGCAGCTAGCTTCGGTTTGGTGCTGTTTAGAAAATCTGAATCCTTGTGGTTCACCAGTTCATAGGGCCTGACAAAGAAGAGACTTGGCCGTATGGGCCTTTTGCCAGTTTTCATTGATTAGGGTACAAGGGGACTATCACTTAAGTCTATTAGCTTAGATACTTATACAACACATCGCTTGAACTTTTTAATAGCGTTTTACTGAAACTCTTTCGTTTTTACAAACATTTAAATGAAACTATTTGCTAAGATACTAAATTTATTTAAGAAGAAGTTTAAAAATAAAATGTGGATATTTAACTCTCTATACTCTATGAGGAAAGCAGAATAAAAAGAAACGAGGGGAAAATGTTGTGTCACCTCCCCTGTGTAATCTGAACACCGAAGTGGGAAACAGCGACAGGCTGAGGATGTGTCTGAATCCGCGTGCCTCGTTCACACTTACAATCATGTTTTCCAAGGCGTGTTTGGCGAGCCAGCAGTTGAGAAAGACTGGGACGAAGAGATTCCTTAGGGAGGGCCAGAATATCTGAAAAACATGCCAACCTAAGCTTTCATCTCAAAGCAGGGACTCAGACCCAGCGGACTGAGAAGAAATGTCAAATGGAAAGAGTTTCACTAAAGACAACACAATTGAAAACAGGTGACGAATGCATTGAACTCACTAAAAATGCAAGGAGGCGACATGATCTTTTCGCTCACTGTCTGATTCAATTCTTCGGGAGATTATTGCAGAAGCAGAAAGAAAAGAAGCTCTTACTGGATGTGAGATGTAACTATGCTAATTCTGTCGTTAAATCTCTTACTGTGACAGTTTGCAGTGGACATGGCCTCTTCCTTCTTTGCAACTCAAGGGGAAAAGCAGGGACCAGGAGAGAAAGCCCGGCCTCCTGTAACATTACCACTCGCTCCTGGGATATTTAAGGGACACTGGGGGACCATGTTTAATTGGAATTATATTTACTTAGTCATTTAATCTAATTTCAGTTGCTCCTCTAGATAAATCACTCAGATTAAAATAATTGTCCGAAGTGAGCAACTGCTTTAGGTACCTACTTATTTTTATAATTTTCCAAATAAAACTCAACATCTAGTTAGGAAGCATCATTCCAACAGACATTATGACAACTCTATCAAAGAGTTAACACCAGATTTTGCTGCGGTGACATGTGATTGAGTCAGATCTTCGTGGAATTGGTATTCTACAGACTTTGATAAAGGGGCAAATTGCTGGCTGGCTGGCTGGCTGTTGACAACCTTTTTTATTAAAGAGAGAATTAGTAGATCCTGGGGTTAACCTAGAGATAAATATAATCTCAGTATGAGAAATGTTTACAAATAGCTGGTTCTACTTGGTTTCTGTATTTTTAATTTCACAATATATACACAAGAAATAGAGTACTTTCTAGTCTGTTTAGACAGTATTGGCCCTTGTTTAAATGGCAACTCTAGACCATATATTTCTAAGCAGCATTTCATTTTGCTCTTGTACTAAATCTCATTACTTTTATTGAATTTCACAATTCAGTTACCCAACTGATGTTACTATTTATTTTTTAATACCATGACTCTAACCAAAACCTGAATTCATTTATCTGAGCTGAATTTTGACTTTTTCGTATTTAGATTTAAAAACTTTACTGAAGTCTAACGACAAAATTATTTCTTTAAAAGAAACTTTTAGGACTTACTGAGATAACGAAGGGAACCGCGTTAATTATTTCCAAGATGAAGGGTATTCGTAAAACCTGTTCCCAGATGTTTCCCTTCCAAGAAAGAAGTAATAAAGATAAAAGTCACTTATACCAGATCCCATTTAAGACGTGAAAAGATAGCATCTCAAAATTTTTCTAGCGTTAAGGATGATTACAACAGCGGAATACTGCATCATTATTTAAAGGTATAGCAATGACTTTTAGAGATTATATATAAATAAAATTTAAAAATAGACTAACAAAACCTACAGAATCAATGAAAGGGTGACTCAATCATAATGTTTACTACAATAAATATATCCACTAACTATAAAACATATGAAATATTCCTAAACACACTTTTTAACAATGTTCATCGATACAAACTTTTTTTTTTACTCTAAGAAAACATAAAGGAAGGGATTTTTTTCAATCATTTAGATTCTAATCTCCCAACCCACATAGTACAACAAAATTAGTCAGGACTGTCTACGAGACTCACAGGGCTGGGTGCAAAAAGCAAATGCAGGGCTTCTCGTGAACAAATTGTGAACGATTCCAAGACGGTGACATCAGCACATTACACCAAGCGCGCTCCCCACCCCACAGCTGCACCGATGACACACACAGGAAGTCCTCCCTGATGTTGGCAGCTTGTCACTGAAACTTTCTCGAATGGTGTCCCACGAAAAAGACCTCGGACCCCTAAGCAGCTTATCTTCTCTGCAGAGATCTGTGCTCCCTGTAATTTCCAATTATTTTTAAACACTGGCTATAAACTTGGGAAGCTTTCTTCATTTTCCCTCCAGCCCCAAAGGCTTAAAACATTACAGGGATGGAAAATTCCTGCACATCACCAAACAAGGCTCTAGACTGGCTGTTGGTCTTTGTGCTACAATATTAAGTGATGGGTTCTGGTGTCATTAGCTCGTCACCTGTCTCCAGACTATATAAAAGGGGGGAGGGACAGGGTAGAAGAAATGGAAGCAGTGAGAAGAAACTGCTCTGCACAGAGGCATCGGTGCCAAGTTGCCTCTGCCGTCACCTCAAGCTCAGTGAGAAGGGCCCAGGTCACCCACTCAGAGAGCTCGCTCACGGGGGGCCTGGATTTACTCACGTCTAAAACATCTCGGATCAGAAGACAGCGGGGGAAAGAGCTGCTGAGACAGAACAAGCCAGTTCGAAGGCAATGACACCTGTTTTCTTGGAAACAGATAGAGACCCTAAAGAATAAAACCTATGGTCACCGTAACGGCGTTTACACCCAGGCGGGCTTCATTTGGGGTTTGACTTGCCCTAAATTTAGGATTAAAAAATAGTCTAAGGAATGTGATCTTCAAAACCCTGTGTTTTAAAAAGCAAAAAAGGTATGCATTTGCTAGATAAAGGGTCTGCCCCGAAACACAGCCATGAGTGCTCTTGTCGATACAGCACATGCAGAAACTGAACTGAAAATCAGTGACCAGCACGACCAGCCTGACGACCTTCCCCCTCCTGTCTCCATCCGTCTTCGCTGACATCCCTGTCACTCCACCAGTGTCAGCGTCCCGTCAACATGAGCCCAGGCTTCGCCCCCTCATACTCAGTGGACCCGCGTCCTGCACCAGTCGGTTGATTTCTCTGGTTTCTTCCTTCATAATTTACCTTGCATCCAGGCCGTCCGTCTGTCCCTCTCACCCAGCCAAACACTGAGGCCCACTGCCATCGTGTCTGACGCGAGCAGGTGGCCTTCAGTGTGACGTCTGTGTCTCACCTGTGCCGCACAGAGGTTCTGAGCCAGTCGCCCTAAAGCTTAATCACAGCCGCAGGGCCCCAAGGTCAACGGCTCCACCAGGTTCCCACCACATGTTGCCGCGCGCGGTGCTCACAATTTTGTCCCAAACGATTTGCCCCCCTATTTCCCCCAATACCCCATACTCTGGCCACACTTGAATATTTATTACTCTTGCAATATTATGTGTGCATCCCTTCCTTTATGCCTTTTTTAATTCTATAAATCCCTATTGTCCTGTCTTTTCACCTTTCCACAGTGAACGCAGCAACTGAAGGACTCTGCATAGTCGGCCAAGTACTTCTTCATCCCACGATCCCACCTCTCTCTATGAACCCCCGTAGGACTTTATTTGCCCCTCACTGAAAAAAAACTATTATTCTCCCTTCTATTATTATTTGTATAATTTTTTCTTACCTACCCCCATTTCCAGATTATAAACTTACAGAAAAACAAACAAACAAACAGTGCAGAGCTTGGAGCTCCTCTTCAGAGGCTCAATAAATACTGGTTAAATTGTGTTAGCCAAACAAAGCTTTGCCAAAAATTAAGAGAGCTCATTAGATGATTCCTAACAGACATGTTTTTGCTCCCTCGATGATTTTGTACAGATCAGGAAAAGAGGTGGAAAACAATAAAGAGCCGGACCGTTCCATTCGCTTGACTTGGATCATGGATAAATTAGCCCATAAGAATGAGTGAAGTATTTTTAAGCCACCAAGGAGAACATTACTATATTACTACAGTGTGTTTTAATCACATACTAGAGAGGCCCAAAATAATTAAAGTGGTTTAAGAAGAGCTTGCTTCATCCCCAGAGTATGGATTATAAAGAAAGGAAAGCTGGGTAAAGGTTAGTAATGAGCTCTATTAGCAGAAAACTTCTAATGAGAAGAGCTTACCTTATAACTGAGATAACCAAGCAGTATGGTTTCAAATAGACTTATCAAGGCCACCAAAACCTAAAATATAAAGTGTACCTTAATGAGAAAATACAATAAATTTAATAGATTCATGATTCTAGTACTACATATTTATGTGATATACACATACATGATATAGGGGGTGTTTTAAGGCACTTTAACTCTCGTATACAGGTGGCAGGTGGCAGGTCGTCCCCCCTACTACAGCTTAGCTTTTGGCATTTCTAACACTCCTTAATAAATCTTTTCTGATTTATTATTGCAAATGGAAATGTGGGGTTAGAATAGTGAGACTGGCAGGAGTTTCCACGATATGGAAAGAATAGGTTCTCTGGGGTGTGTGTTCCTAACAAACAATCACACACAACTGCCCACCCCAAATGACACACCGCCAGCAGCACCCACAGGGTCTGCAGTGCATTCACCAAAAACAGCGGTCCCTTGAGGAAAGAACACAAGGTTCAGGTTTAATGAGATGGGCTTCTGATTACTTGGTCAAGGGCTGTGTAACAGGAAGGAGGGAGGTTGGTTAGGGGACTGGTGGAGCCTGAAAACGCTGGTTGACGGGTTTTCTCCACCCTCAGCAGCCATCTGAAGCTAATCTTCATCGCAAGGAAGTTCTCAGAACAAAGCAAAGCTCCAGCAAACACGAAGAAAGGAACCAAAGTGTTAGTCTAAGGTGTGCATCACGATTAATTAAGCAATAAAACAAGCTCACTTTTAATATCAACAGTTTCTCTCCAATTGTATTTCTCTGGAATTTAGGGAGAAATTCAGAAATTTAAGGACAAAGCAAAATTGTACTAACCTGTAGGCCCCATAAAGGTAGACTTCTGTTCACCCAAAAGATGTGAGACCTGTGAAAAGAATAAGATGTTACTTTTTTAAAAATATGGAAATGCATTCACTTTAAAATTGTGATTGAAGTTGGAAATATTTAAATAATGCTAACAAAAAAGAGACAAAATATCAAAATTAAAATTAGAAAAGCTTTATTTTTCTTTTAGTTTTTTTTTTAATAGTATTCATTTCTATTCCTGGAAATACCCTTTTAAATTTCACTTCAGTCTCTTGTTAATAATAAAAGATAATGGGCCTTTATTTAACGAGTGATTATGGCAGGGTACAAAAACCTCAAACCTTTTTCTAGTCAAATTCTCTATTGAAAATTCACCAAGGGTCTTCTCTAGACTCTAAGATTTTGTTCATTTTAAAGCTGTTCATATTTCAGGAGTACAAATTCAACAGCATTAATAATCCAAATAAAGTCAGTAACTCAGACTATAGAGCACATTAATATTTCACATTTGGGTTTATGCAAAATATTTAACATACCACCAAAGACCTGTGACTGAGAAGAGCAAAGCCCATTACACAGGACAGGGAGTGACTGTCCGTAAATGTCTCGTATAAACCATTTCACCTTTTCACCTTTGAGGTCAAAAAGTGTTTATACTCTGCCAAAAACACCGTAACGTTGCCGATGGCTCGCCCCTCACTGGAACTCATGAACCGCCTGCTGGGTGTGTGGTTTCCTTCGGTAACGCCCCTGAATCACCAGAGCCTGTCCTTTGCACAATCTCATCCATTAACAACAAAATTCCTTCCATAGCCTTCATTGTGTTCCTCCTCACAACATTTTCATATCAGTTCTTCTCCTGAAGGGACTTAAAAATAAAGCAAAGCAGCACAAAATATGCTCCGCTTTATTATGTCTAATTAAATAAATCTCCTTGCTGAATTAGCCTCATTATTGTAAAATAGAGCCTGTGCCCATAAAGGCCACTTCTGTTTTTCATTAACCGGCGCTGCATCCACAATGGGAACCAAACAGAACATTGCATTCAACATGGAGCCATGAGTTATTTTGGTTGGTTGTTAATGGCAGTAATCTGATTTTTCAGATGTATATCCTCTATAATTATGGCTGAATATTCTTAGTAACCTGGCATAGAAGTTAATTGTAGGAAACTTTGTTCCTCTTAATGTTTTCAAATAATATAATTTCACTCTGCTATCCCCCACCGGTGCCCTTTTACCCTTAGAAGGGACCTATCGTGACTCAATTTGTGGTGTTCAGGTCTCTCTGATGTACATGCTAGTCACAAGTCACCAAGTTTTAAAAACAATTCTGGTATGTTTTTGGGAGGATTTGTAATGAGAATCGTTTTTAGTGACACATAGGCAGAGGCATGTAATAAATGTAATAGGCACTGAGAGGCAGTGTTCTTCAGTCATCTCCAAGGTGCACCCCTACCAGTAAAACTGTTGAGCATATTTCCATTAATTCAGCGACATTCGCTGACCCACCAAAGCCCATGCTAAGCATGAGCACTACAGAGGCAAAGGCCACAGGGTCCCCGCCCTCAGCGAGCGCACAGGGAGAGCGGAGAATGGGCACAGCTGACCTTGAACAGCAGGGTCTTGAACCACATGGGCCCGCTTATAGGTGGATTTTTTTTCTTTTTTAAATTTATTGAGCTTTTTAGAGAGAAACATGGATTTGTTAGTCCACTTATTTGTGCATCATTGGTTGATTCCTGTTTGTGCCCTGACCTGGGCTTGAACCCCAAACCTTGGCCTGTGAGGACAACGCCCTAACCAACTGAGCCACCCGCCAGGGCTAGGCGGACTCTTTTCAATGACTAATGTCAGTGCGTTTTCTCTTTCCTCATATTTCTTAGCAACTTTTCTTTTCTCTAGCTTACTTTATTGTAAGAATATACAATATGCATGTTATATGTATATAGTACATATAACATACAAAATAGGTGTTCACCGACTGTTTATATCATCGGTGAGGCTTTCGGTCAACAACTGGCTATTAGTAGCTAAGTTTGGGGGGAGTCAGAAGTTATACACGAATTTTTGAGTGTGCAAGGGAGGGGAGGGTTGGCTCCCCTACCTCCCTGTGTTGTCCAAGGGTCGCCTGTAGTAAAATCAAGGTCCTGTGTTAGGTCCTGGGACAGAAGTATTCAGGGGATGTTGTAGAACTGGGCTCTAGGTCATCGCCTCAGGTATGAATTTCAGAGTAAGTGTTGCCCAAGAAGTCATCTTGAAGGTTCAGGGGTCCTAAAGCTTGTTAGGGGCAGAGGTGGGAAGCAGAGGTCCCAGAAGTGAGAGCAGAATGTTTCGTGGCCCAGAAGCCTTGGAGGGCAGGGTCTGGATCAGCGGCCTCACGGGGGTCACATGGCTGGGGGAGAGGTGGGCGAGGAGAGGCCAGCGAAGGTCAGATTTAAAGGACCTCTGTTGACTCACAGAGTCACTCACTGACTTAATAAATAACTCCTGAGGGCCTAACGGGATTCAGACCACAGCCTCTGTCCTCGTATAAAAGCCACTGGAACCCACATGGAACACACAGAGGAAGGCAAACCAGTAAGTGGGTACAGTAGGTCAAAGAGGGAAGGCAATGCAAAAACGAAAAATAACTGTTCAAGAGTCTTGGTTGAACAGGATGCTTGGGTAAGGCCTCCCTGAGAAGAGATTGTGAGTGAGCTGAGGAAGGGGCCTATGCTATCTGCTGGGAGAAAATTCCAGAAGGAACAGCAGGAGGGAAGGCCCTGAGCCAGCCCAGCGTCTGGTGGGGCTCCTGATGCTGTACACCTGAAACTAATACAAAATAATATTGAATGTAAAAATATATATATGCTTTTGATGAAATTTTTAAAAAGATGAGTACTGAGGGCCTCCAGGAGGAGAGCAAATGGGAGAAAATTGGGAAAACAGGATTAAGTGTATATTGAAGGAAATAAGACACACAAAACAAGCAGTCCGATGCCAGAAAGAGCAAGAACTCCCGAGCATACAATCTCTTCACAGGTTGAAAATTCCCCGAGGGTAGAAGATGTTCCTTGTCCTGGCTGTGTCTCCACTTATAGTATTATAAATACAGGCTAAGAATCCAATAAAGACACAGCAAAATACCCATAATGCTCTTTCATTAGATAAACTGTTTCCTAAAGAATTATCACACCAATTATCACATAGTAAAATTGCACTTGTTAATCTTCAACGTATCTCCAAGCCCCTTAATAAATACAGAATCATTTTCACTGCCCAATCAAACCGAAGAGTAACCGATTCATTTCAATGCATAGTGAGCTCTCCCTTCCTATTTTACTTTAATCTTTTTAAAAATTTCCTTAGGGCACAACTCCCCAGGGGGAAAAAGAATTGTACAGGAGTTAGCCATCGAGTTTGCTTTCTGCTTTGAAAATTCTTTTAAATTGAGTAGGCTGGACAGGGACCCAAGGAGGCAATCAGATCACAGTGATTGATGTGATTGCACACCTAGGCCCCTTCCCTGCTGCTTCCAACGAAGGGAGAGGCCAAAAAAGCCCATCCATGCATAGCAATGCAATTAATAAAAGCAACACGGCCATGAATAAAAAATAAGCTGAATCGATAAGCCATTTAACTCAAGTAAGATAAAGAACTCCACAAGAGAAAGACAAGTACCCCAGCATCTCACTCACCTGTGGAATCTAATGAACAGAATAAACCGGTGAACAAAACAGATTCAGACACATAGAAGCAGGGAGCAGACGGAGGGATCTCAGAGGGGAGGCGGGAGGGTGGAGATGAACCAGAGAACTTATATGTTTATATACACGACCCAGGGACACAGTCAATGGTGTGATGCAAGCCAGAGTGGTGGGGGTGGCTGTCAGTGGGGGAAAGGGGGACATCTGTGATACTTTCAACAATGAAGATACATTTAAAATAAAATGAATTTTAATGAAAATCTTTGGAGTGTTTCTATTTAAGAGTAACAGCTAGAGTGTCACTGGAAATACTTACAAAGCTTGTATCCAGGAGAGTAATATATGCAAGTGAAGAACAGAAAGGTACTGGGTGTTCAGAGAGACAGACCCATGGTAAACAATGACTTGCAGGGTTTTGATTAGCAGTAGACACTTTAGGGTAGGTGTCCAGTGTCGGCGTTAGAGGAACAGATAGAGAACACAGGCAGAGATGTTTAAAGAACTTACAGAGGTGATCTCCGCTTCCTGCCTGAAAGGCAGATCAATATAATTGCAACAAACACCTAAAACATCCTCGGAAAAAAATTAACTCTATGCAACTTTCTTTAAAATTATAATACAACTCAAAGTAATCAAAAGGCTGTTGCTGAGGGTCAGGTGGAGATACCTACCATCCATTTCCTTGTGAAGGGTTCTCCAGGAGCACTCGGATGATATACAGTAAGCAGCTTAATAACTTGAGGGAAAAATTGAACAGGCGTATTCTTAGACCTTTAAACAGACAACAGAGATTTGATTTTCACTTGAACTTAGTCCACAGAGAGACTAAACGGAATTGTCAGAAATATCAGTGTTAAGTACAGCACTTGAGTTGTATTTAGAAACCACGATGCCACATCGTCTAAACCGTCTGAAGTTCAAGGGTTTATTACCGTTAATTACTGAATATTGAAACCAAGGGTGCGACTGGCAGAATGCTTGCCCCGCCAACGTTATTAGCGGAGCGAGCGTGAGTCTAGGTCTGAGCAGCCAGAAGCCGCAGAAACCAAGGCCCAGCAAGATTGGTTCAGGTTTGCCTGCAAGTCTAAGCGTGTTACACACCCGCGAATGTGGGGCTGAATTTCAGCCGGCTGGAAAATCTAGCTGCTTGCACATCTCAGAATAAGCTATAAATCTTGTACAGTCAGAATACCTTGCAGACTTTAATTACAGAGAAATTATAATCATGTCTATAATTATATATTACACTTTAAATTAGCAATTACATAATTGTAGAGAAACCATAATAGAATGTTCTGAGAAATACAGAAACACACACACGTTTTTGGAGTTGGACCAGCTGAAAGTGACTTTTCACTTGAGGTGAAATACCAACGTAGTCTCAATATTTTTGTGGGGACTAAGACCTTCAGGTATGTACCCTCCGAAACCCTGTGGGCCACAGTTGTGCCACCTGTGATACTTGATATGATGGGTATTCAAGAAACCTTAACACCAACAGATGTAAAAATCTAGAGTCTTCTGTCATTTTACTGCCTGGCAGACAAGATTATCAATTGTTTTCCTCTGTTTAAATATTTTGCAGAAGCGTTAGACTGGAATTGTTTGAGGGAAATATATGTACAAACACATAGATGGGAATAAAATGACTTACTTGATCTCTGATTTTTAATAAAAAATAACTTTAGTCTCTCTTTAAATGTGTTTTCATTCATATAGAATTCAACTTGGACCCTGCAAACAGAAAATAAAGACATAATTAATCTGAAGACTAATATATAAGAAAATTTTTAAAATTACTTGTAAGGGGTGGGGCCTGAAAATTTACTTTTAACAAACCCTTCACTTCACCTTGACTGTATTTGAAAACCACATTATCAGACACTTACCTTCTTATTTAGGCTCATTTTAAATTATACACAGATCAGGAAAGGAGTAGGAATGTCAAATAGAATGTTAAAGTCACACAGATATAAACCAGACAGATCAATTGCGATGCTGAATATTAGATGTTGAATCCTCTATAAAATTTCAACTGTCAGAAAAATAACATTTATTTAATGAATGCGTTTGCTTTCCCCTAAATTATTTCAGACTGCCTCTTGTGTCCTGGCATAATTAATATTTTCAAAATACTGAGTGAAAAAAAAATACTGGTCAGTGCATGGTGACTTGGGTAATAATTATCATCTGAAATTTTCTTAGTCTCTGATACATGAATTATAAATTAGGATTGCAAAAACAGCTAAGAAAGCATTTTAATGTTTATACAAACAACGAAGATTTCAGTTCAGTTTTCCTGACATCATAAAATTCTGATAATGTCACCCACATAGACTAGACCGTTCGATAGTTTGGGCTTTGGCAGGAGCACCCCGGAGGATGAAACTGGAGGGAAAATGAACATGCGAAGATGCTCACGTATTAGAGAAATATTTCCTCTCTTCTATGCTGTGTAGTCGAGAAGATTCATGTGTACTTTTGAAACTGTCTCTTACGCCATAAAAACAAAAGGGGTTTAGTTATCAATTGCAAACCTAGTTTTACCTGCTGTGCCCTCAGAGCTCTCTAACTTGACCTCTGTCCCTAAAGAAAACATTTCCAGGCATAAACATATTTCCATCGCTTTTTATTCGCCTTGCCATCTTTTGTCTTTCGTTCGCCTTACATGTTAAGTGAAACAATGGGCGGAAATCAAGATTTTCTTGTTAATTCCTCCAGAAGGAAACCCTGAAAATTGCAGCATCTTCCAGCGTGCACACACCCCACACACATACACAAACCTACACACTCCCACGTTCTACAAAATACACACACACACACGCACACAGGACCCCACCACTACCTTGGAAATCCTTCACTGGATCCGTTTCCCTTGTTTATCAAATAAAAAGGCAGCTCGTTTAAAATAAAGTTACTGTAATGCAGACATCAAGCTAAATTAGTTCAGATCTGCTATGGATACAGAAGCGAATTTGAGAGGACATGTGGCTCTTACACAAGTAATTCAGCAGAGGCCATGTCGGTTTGCTTCCTTGAATTATCAAATTTATAAGACTGGGAGTCTCTTCTTCACATACTAGGCGGTGTTCGGTACTGGGTGTATAACAGAGGGGCATTTTAAACTAAAATGAGATTGTCTACAGCCTTGCACAAAACAGAAAGGAATTTGGAGAGCATCCCATCTGCCACAAAGTTGAAGGAACTGGAAAAGTTTCATATGGAGAGATAGCAGGTTTCTTTATATATTGAGGTGTCCGTCACTATTAAAATGAGATGACTCATAACGTGATGCTCTATTGCATACAACACTCACAGAGAAGGAGGAATCACGAGTGAGGTGACCCAGCTTAGAAGTGGCCATCACCTTCCCAGCCAGCTGGGCGAGCACCACCCTGTGCACCGAGACGTCGCCAGTTCGATTCCCAGTCGGGCGCCTGCCTGGATTGCGGGCTCCATCCCCAGCAGGGTCGTGCAGGAGGCAAAGGATTGATGTTTCTCTCTCATCAATGTTTCTCTCTCTCCCTTTCCCTTCCTCTCTCTAAAATCAGTAAAAACATATTTTTAAAAAGGAAATGGCCATCAGTGTGAAGTAGAGAGCTCTTCACTACATATACAGGTGCCAAACGCTGGGTAACAGCTTGCTCTGGTTACTTGAATTTAATGTAGAAATCACAGGGCATCTTGTTAAAGTGCAATTTCCTTGCTTCCCTCTTAACATTCTTCGGTACCTTTAAAGGAGGCCTTCCCATCTTAACAAGAGAGAGAATTCATTCTGACCCTGCTGGTCAGTGTGCTCTTCTAGAAACATTAGTTTGCTTTTTTCAATTGCTAATGCCCTGGACTCTCTTTAAGATGCCGAACACCTGCAGACATTCTCTCTGGGAACTCGTAGTAGACACCAATCCTTATCAAAATGCTTCCTCTGTGTCTGACGGGCACTGGTCCCTCCTGTTCCTTCTGCTCCTGGGACGTCGGTCACGGCGTCCCCGCAAGAGTCTTTCATTAACTATACTCACCTCCAACAAGGCAACGCCTGCTGGACCGCTGGTCTCAGCAGGCAGGCCCAGTGGACGCACGAAATTCCTGCTCTCACTATTTATTTGATGGTGGTTCTCCTTTGGAAAACCTCCCTGTGGGTGGCACATTGCTGGACACAGCTCCCAGTATAAGACCCCTTCCTAAGGCCTTCTCTGGCCTCGTTTGGGGGAATTTAAATTGAGGCATCTTCCTAATTCTGTGCTTGGTGCTCTGATTCGAGTGAGTCAGGAGGAAAAGTCAAGTCCCTCCATGTGCCAAGGTTCCCTCAGTCTGTTCTCACCACCAACTGGTTCTAAGCTGGGTGTGCGCTTGTGAGAACTACAGCTTTCCAAATGTGCTCACTGTGAGTGTACCCCTGTTTTCTCTAAAGTCACCGTTATGTGTTCAACTATGCTCCACCCCTCACCCCCCCAAAAATATGTTAAAGCTCTTAAACACCAGGACCTCAGGCTGTGAGCTTATTTGGGACATAATTAGTTACATTGAGATGAGGCCGTTTTGGAGAGGGGTGGGTCCTAATCCAGTTAGACTGGTTTCTTTATAGGAAGGAGGAAACTGGGGCACAGACCCAGAGGGAAAAGGGTCATTAGAGACAGAGGCAGAGATCAGAGTTAGCAGCCACAGCCTAAGGAATGCCTGGGGCCCTCTATGGTTTAGTGAGTATTTAGGGAAAAGTTTACACCACTATTAATTGGTTTTTTATATATTTTTATTGATTTTAGAGAGCAGAAGGGAGAGAGAGAGAGAGAGAAACATTGATGCTGAGTCATTGATCGGCTGCCTCCTGCACGCCCCCTGCTGGGGATCGAGCCCGCAACCCGGGCCTGTGCCCTGACCAGGAATCGAACCCTGACCCCCTGGTTCATAGGTCGATGCTCAACCGCTGAGCCACGCCGGCCGGGCTGTTAATTAATTTTTACAATGTTACTATGACATGGGTAAGGCAGCCCTCAACTTTCTTTTATTAAAAAACTAATTAGTTCAAACGATTTTAGTGACTTGGCCAAATTCATACAGCTGGTCCCAGGCCGGAACTGGAACACAGGTCTTTCCATTACTTCTTGCCTCTTCCCTCCTCATCGCGTCGTTTCTTCTTTGTGAGGGGAGCTCTGGGTCATTCGTGAAATATTACGACAGAGTGTTGCGAACGCCAGACCCGCACAGGGTGCTGAGAAGTGTTTGTTTAGTCCTGCCCTTTGGTTATTGACTCTCAGCCGGGCTCCTATCCATGTCCAAACATCCACTCCCAACCTCTGGTAGCTAGAAACCATTTAAATGAAGCCTCATAAAATATAAATTAATAACTAAGCCTACGATCGATTTTTCATCTTACAAAAATTAGCTTCACCAGTTCATGCTCAAGTGCTCCCAGGGGTGCTACCTGGCTTCCATCTTCTACTAGGTGCACAAGAAAACCTCACTGCCAGGACTTGGCAGTCCCTCCTCAGGCATTTCCCAGCTTCTCTTTGCCTGTCTAATTCTTTTCATTATTATTCAAGCCCAACTTTCTCCTGTCCTGAGTCGGGAACCTCTTACAAGGAGGCAGAAATGAATTCTGATGACCTTCGAGAACACGCTCTGCATTTTAAAAGTCTAAAATAATGTCATTTTTGGAAAGGAAACCTAGGTTTATACACACACACACTCATAATGCAAATCCACACAGACACGTGTATATGTGTGTGTTTAAATGTATATGTAATGATGTAATGAGGAAAGGATCTGGGGTGTAACCACCCATCAGTCTTCTGTCATTGTGGATCATGCTGATGGCCCCTCAGTAATTACACGTGCGCTCCTGTCACTCTCCAGTGATCAGGGCTTGCAGGAAATCAGTCTCCCCGTTTCCATGGTAAAACAGGTTACATGTCCCCCCAGAAGGACTCTCGTATTCAAGTCCCCCCTGGGACCTGTGCTCTCTCCTCCCCAGTTCTGTTTAAACTGGTTCAACCCAGGCAACCCCAGTTTAACTCAGCCCTGCGCAGGGGGAGCAAAGGTAAGGGAAGCTGGTGCCAGGTATTGAACCCTCTCTCCCCTGAGCACATATTACCACTGTCACCCTCTGGAGTCACTGAGTAGTAAAAATCTTTTAGCAGAATGATAAAGAAAATGAGAAGAAAAGCGCTTGCAAAGAACACGCTCAGTCAACCGGAGCGCGAGAGAACCTCCCACAGAGACTCGAACTTGCCTCCAGGTTAAAACCTGTTTTCAAGGCAAGATGTGGAAAAACCAAAGGAAAACGAAACTTTACATAATCCATACAAATACTGAGCCCAGATGGAAGCTCCACCCACATACCCGCCTACAAAAACCACTGTAAAACGTTTCACACGGCTCACGGCCCTGTGCTTGCATCTTCTGTTCCAAGGCGTGACCTTCAAGCAGAGGTCACTGCAACCTGCCAGCTGGGCTCCCCTGGGAGGGACGGGTGGCGACACAGAGGGAAGCGTCGGAAAGGAAGTCACGGCCCAGCGTCTCCTCCCATCACCCTACTGTACCCGAGAGAGGGGGTCCCCCTGCCAACCTCCCCACGCCTGTCCTCCCCCTCCTGCCACGAGTTCCAGTGACGGCACCCGGAGCCCTGTAAGAATCCCGAGCTGCGTTAGGAGAGGAGCGAGTCTGTCACTGCACGGTCCCTTCTTAAAGCCCAAGTAAACTTCAGGCTCCACTGAAGACACATTAGCCAGTTTGGGCTCAGAATTGCCCCCCGGCGCCTGGAGCATCGTGGATGCTCGCTCGAACCTCTGGGATTAAACATTTCTCAGCAGGGCGTCTAACAGCCCGCGAGTGACAGAGGGTGACAGCCATCAGCAGGCAGAGCCACGCACTCTGTGGCCCCTGGCATCTGCGCTGGGAAATGGGAAACTCCCCACTAACCCTGCTCCCCACGTTTGTGCATTTCAGAGTGAACCCCGATCTGCCCTGGATGGTACGAATACCCCAGCCCCCCACAATTCCCCTTTCTTCCCTCCACCAGACTTTGTTATTGTACCAGCCGTCGAGCCTTGACAGCCACAGGTTCCCACGTCGAGCCTTGACAGCCACAGGTTCCCACTTTTCAACAGAAACAGTCAGCGACACCTTAAGAAACAGGAACAACGCTTCAAGTCGCTAAGCTATTCTTTCGTCTTCCTTCGGGGACCTCACCCTACTTCCTTTGGGTCTCATTTTAGATGCCACCTAACCTTCCTCACCAAGGTCTTTGCTAAGTGACACGTGTATTTTTGCTTAGGGCCCTCGATTCCTTTTACCATAGTACAGATTGCAGTGTGTCGAACTGTCTTTTTAAGGGTTCAAATCCTTCAAAAGGACCTGAGAGATCAAATAATTGGCTCTGCCCAGCCGACATGGCTCAGTGGTTGAGCGCCTACCCATGAACCAGGAGGTCACCAGTTCGATTCCGGGTCGGGGCACACGTCTGGGTTGCGGGCTCGAGCCCCAGTACAGGGCGTGCAGGAGGCAGCCGATCAGTGACCCTCATCAATGTTTCTCTCTCTCTCTCCCTCTCCCTTCCTCTCTCTGAAATCAATAAAAACATATTTAAAAATAATAATAACTGGCACTATGCCATCAATTGGATACAGAACACAGGCATGTTAAAAAAAAAAAACACAGAGAAAAGATAAATCCCTGGACCTGGGGCGGTGAACACACAATACAATATATAGACTTGTACACCTGAAACCTGCATAATGTCATTAACCAATGGCAGCCCAATAAATTCAATAAAAAAGTAAAAAACAAACAAACTTCAATCATTAGAAATGGGGTGTGTTGACACTTGGAAAGTATTTCCCTCCTCGAGCAAGGGAGAAAAGGCTTCGCTGTGCTTTGCAGGAAAAACGAGCCTGAGACTGAAATAGGCAGGAAGCTACCAAGTGCCAGATGGGAGCCTCGGTGACAGCATCGAGCCCCCGGCCTCATCGGAGTTTATCTGAGGACATGCGTCTGGCCCTGTCCCTCCAGCGCTGAGGGCGGGGCTGCGTCTGCTTTGCTCGTTCTGACTGTGGTTCCAGAGCCCAGCACAGCGCCGGGCACGCATGCTGGGCGCTCCCTGCATCCGCTGCGGGTTGAATGAATGTTGCCGTGTAGAAGTTTGCTTTCGGCTCTTCCTCTCATTTACGTTCTTACCTGTCAAACTCATGAGCGTCCGTTTCAGATCTCTTCTGAGGGTGTATTTAGTGTCGTGCATTTTTGTGTGTGCCCTCTCTTAGTGGTTTTTCTGGTTAAAATAACCATCCAGCTGTGATGCTGAGGTGCGGCCTAGTGCCCCTAAGTGCAAGAAAAGACGCCTGTTTGGTGAGCTTTGTTCAGGAATAAGTTGGAGTGTCATTGGCTCTGAGTTCCATTGTCACCCAGAGAAAGAAAGGACTTTCGCCCGTCTGTATGTGAGCCTGCTCTGGAAAATGTTAAATGAACAGCCGTGGGGCATGATAAAGCTGTGGAAAAGATGGAAAGCTGGCTACATTTGTGGATTCATGAGATGATGAACAATTTAAAATATATACAGTAAACAACATTGTCCTAAGGCTGAAAACCAAAGAAGTTTATGGTCATATTATCCAGGGTTAAGAAAACATTAAACCTTTCATAGTTACATTTTATTATAAAGATACACTGCATATATTTAATTATTTGGAAGCCATATATATTAAATAATGTTTCTCTAAACAGAAATACGCATAAAACAAGGTTATGTATTGGCCAATTCAATGAAAATATGGCCAGAGGCTCGCAGACACCTGATTGTCTGTTTCCCCAGGATCAAGAGTTGATAGAACATAACCGGTGCCAATAGGAGAACTGACTGCAGGTGTGCGTGTGTGCGAATTATAACCGTAAACACTCCGAACATTCACACATGTATGTACAGAAATTATATGCACGTATATTACATAAGTATATATACAAGGTGTCCCCCAAAATGTCTATACACCTTGCATACCATTATGAAGTCCAATGGTATTTTCTGAAAAGAAAGAATCGTCAGTTGAGCTATCAGCTGTTGAAAGTGTGTATACATTTTGGGGGGACAACACCCTGTATTATATATATATTACATATAGTCAGAACAAGTGTGTCCGACCCTCAGCCAGGACCTACCCTATAGTTTTCCGTGGGTGATCTAATGTCTTCTTTTCTGGTCTTCAGATGGTACCAACTAGGCCAGCGGTACTTCGCTGCATCCCCCTCAGTGTGTTGATTTTATAGAACGTCCCTCAAAGTTCTTATTGAAGGAACTAAAGGACTTTGCAACGGCAGCTCGTCGCTTATTCACTGTGATGGGAAAAGGTGGACCTGGTAGCCTTTATGGCAGCTGCTCATGAGCAGCAGGAATTTACCCCTGTCACTGGAGGGCCAGCTGCACCCCCAGCCAGGGCTGGCGTGGTGCTCGGTGACACGCGTACCCCCATGAACATGGGCAAAGAGACCTGAAATGTCTTCAGAACTGCTCACATGTAAATAACGATGCTTTACTCTGCCATAGAACCAATGATACCATAATCTAACAAATTCCCTGCAAATGAGCCCATTATCTTTACAGTTTCAAGTGCTTTAAAAGCCACTGGAATCTCTTTCATGGGAAAGAATATTAATAGGAAACCATTACTCTGTTTGAGTCAGCATGTGGTCTCCGAGAGCTGCAGATATTTCCAGCATATGAGATATAAGCTAATTACTCAGAAACTTTCATTTAAATATAAAGTTCCAATTTGAAAAGTCCTGATTAGTTAAATAATTTAATGGCAAGCGAAGGTGCTGGTGCGCACGGGAGGGCATGGTTCATACGAAAAAATCCATTACACAGAGTGGAAGGCCCGAGTCACTTCTCACTGTCCTGTGCAGGCCTTAAAGCTGTTTCCTAATCTGTTTAGTTTAACAGTTGCTGTGAAAGGGTCCAATCTGGCGGTCGAGAAACTGTTCTTAAAAAACAGTTTTTTAACTTGTGTACCATCCACAGTCACTTAGCCCAGTTACTTTGTCCTAATTATGGGCAAGGCCCTGAGCAGGCAATTCACAGTCACGGGTAAAAAATGCAGTAAACGCAGAACGCATCTCCCACGGCTAATACGAGCAACGCACAAAACGCCTTCATCACCGTGAAAATTCTCATCTCCAAAATGTGCTCCTACTCTGTTTTTTAAGTTTCTCTTTATGGTTGAAAGTGTTACAGATGCCCCGTTTTTGTACTTGCATTCTGTTGACCAGCCCTGCTATTTTATATATGTCTGCTCTATGCTAGACGTGTATTTTTTTAAATTTACTATTACAAAAATCCTTTAAGCTAAGAGTTATTATCCTGGTCATACAGGTGAGAGTGGTGAGCCTCAGAAATTTCCTCACGTTGCCCAAGCTCATGCCGCGAGGAAGTCAAGGAGCTGGGATCTAATAAAAGTGCAACTTTACAATGAAAATGGAATACATTTTAAAGGCTTATTTCCCCGTTCCTGGGCATTTATCTTGTACAAACACTAGATGCAAAGGGTCCTACCTTTATCAACACAAGAAATTCCTTAAAGCTAAGTTGTATTTACAGTAGAAAACTGAAACCAAGAGTAGATGCGAGATCTGAACTGAGGGACAGAACAAGACGTGAACCTAAGTCTGAATTTTAGATCATGCTTCTTGCCTATGTTCCAAACCTCTCCTGCCATTTCTCCCTGACGTTTAACTTACCAACTTTCTTAGCCTCAAATGAATCTCGATTAACTGCTTCTAATAAGCATTTTGAAGGGGGGGAGGAAAGGATCCTAATGGAATGACAACCATCGTATCACTAGTCCAACGATCTCCCCAATCGGTTCTTTAAAAGAATGACCACGTCCAGATAAAAGATTAAAAGCTTATGCTTTTTACATCAAAATATTTTGTCTCCTTTTCAAACAGGTTTTTCAGTTTGTTTCGGACAACAGTGCTGTGAGCATTATAAATCCAGGGAAGACAAGTCCTGTAGAATTTGCACGAGATAATAGTCTCTGGAAAGTGAGAGTGGGATTACTCAGAACAAACACTTTATTCCCGGGTAGTCCCACGTGTTTACAAAGGCTGAGAAATGGTGTTTGGATACCACCAGTTTCACAACTCTCTATTTTCCTCTGAGCATAAGAGAAAATTCTTAGCTGCCATTTCCATGGCAGAAACAAATAATGTGTGATCCTGTTCTCACTTCTCTCAAGTAATCATCTTTCTAGTCAAGCAAGATTCAAATAGAGAGAGCAACACATTGGCTTCTGATTTTCTGAGGATACCCAAGCCAGAAACGGAGTCATTGACTAAAGAGCCAATAAGAAATGCAATAAATCTTTACTCGTTGTGGGTTATTACCAAACGCTTCATTTTACCCAAGCCTATTTAAGGAAGAAGCATTTTAGTTTTAAGTGTTGATCATTAAAAATAGAATCGTTAATGGAGTATAGATTTATCTTTTATGGGCGTTTCCTTCTTGCTGGCTCATGACTGCTTGTCAGTATTAAAAATTGGTTCGCACCTTCCTCGCTCATTAGGTGGAATCATTCCCTTGACTGGTGACATCAATGCATTTGTAACAAGCCCATGTGCAATGCTGGCAGCCTGGCCTAAAAATATTACAAATGAAAGGACCAGGAGTAGGCATTTTGAGAGAAAGCTACTGTAGTCAGCCAAGAACAGAAAAAGTCAGCAGTGGATCACCCACTGACACATCATGGTTACAATCATGCTACACATCAATATTTAAGTCTTTAGTATGTATCCTAAAATAAATAATGTTATTGAATGACTTTTTTTTTTTTTAGGACAAATGTTGAACATAATGCATTCAAAATAATTTCCATTCAAATGATAATTTTAGAGAAAGAACATACCGAATTAGAGCAATTTGATCATGATTTAAAGTGGGAGTACACTCTGTATACTCAGTTATTCCAGTGCTGAGTTGAATATTCCCGATGCCTAAATTCTCTCCGAGAATCCTCTGAAATGCCTACCTCCTGTTGGCCCTTAAACTCAATATATTGAAGACATGCACTACCCGCTCACTGAAACTACAGCTCACGAAAGGTACTGTGTTTTGGATGAATAAATAAGTAAAGAACAAATAA